TGTCCTCAGGGTTTACTCCTGAAGTCTTTCCATGATTGGTAAGGCAACACAGGTTCAGAATCAAAGTTTTCCTTCTCTTAGAAGGACGACTCAATAATAATACTTATTTATAGTAAAATTAGTAACAATTCATTTTTGAAGCAAAATGACCAGTAGTACTTTTTATAGTAGAATGACGAACAAAACATTTTATCTGTAGTTGAAGGCATACAATTGCGTTCAAATTATTTAGATTTCGGCATTAAATGGTCCATAGGTGTGTCGATAACGCATAAACTAAATCAACCAACCAACTTAAGCTGAAATGATGATTCCTCTTGCTGTTACGACATCCTGATCTACTTTTTCTCTCTACTGTTCCCTATAAAAATTCATCGTTCTCTTGATGGTTCTTGAATGGACTTTGAAGATGGAAGCCAGAGTATGAAAGTTAATAACCTTACCGAAGGCCTGACCATTGCTCAGTTGGAAAGGCATAATGGGTTTGGCACAAAACGATTTTAACCTGTTCTCTTTCTACCTGAATAACTCAAAGCGTTTTTCAGTGATTCTTTCGATAAATGGTGTCAAGATGGCTAAACGTCTTATCTGAAAACTCGAAAAAAGAAACTCAATTAGTTTAGATTTTTTTTTTTTTTTTTTTTTAGATATTAAACATTTTGAGGGATGGATAATTATTCCATGCTGTTACACAATTTGGAAAAATTTGCTGTTACACCTGATGTATTAATTATATATCCTATAACATTCTAGCACGCTTTTCTTAATTTCTAATCTTATCCACTGGGCCATGTATTCTTGCGGATAAAAGCGTTGGGTGAAGTAATCCACTGACTTGAATCAAAGAGTTGTGAGTTCAATATCTAACACGAAGGCAATGAGGCCTTCTTGAGAGAACACTCGTTCATTGCGATAGACGAACACTCAACGGCTGCTCGCTGATAATGGTACGTTACGAGTTTGGTTTTTGAGGTAATAAATGTGATAAGCCATTAAGTTGTTGAAGCTAGGTCAGAGGAGAGATTTGCTACCATGCTATGGTCATCTAGATTTTGATGATGCCCCATACATTGTTGTATCATCTGCATTCAAAAGAGATCGGAGTATGTTTCTAGGAAGATCATTAACATGAATCAAGAAGAGGGTTGGACCGAGAAGCGAACCTTTGGAAACGCCTAAATTGATCTCATGGTCCACGGACGACTTGCTATTAACAACTATCTTCATAGACTACGTGTTAGGAAGGGCTTGCGTGCCCCACGATTTGAAAATAACCGTGGAAATTCTCCTACTACCTCGTTAGATATTTAAATTTAACAGCTTGCTTTCATTTAGTCGCCATAGAGACCTTTTTCTGATTAGCATCGTCATGGCTGATGCTAATCTTCAAGAGAGAAAGTTTTTTCGCCTTCCACATGAAGCGGAATGATTATATTGAATTAAATGCAAGATATAATTGTTTCTTTTATTGTCCTTTCTCCTTGCTAACGTCATCTCATTCTTTTTCATTACCAGTAACCCCTTGCGTCTTAGTGGCAATCGCTTTGCTTGGGGTGAAATGATTAAAAAAAAGAGAATCGAATCAAGAATAAGAAACCTTTCTCTTTTATTTTAAAGTCTGTGATTGCATTGTGATTGAGTATGCACGTTGGTGTAATGGATAGCGGCTCGGACTGAGGAATCGGATGATCCGAGATCGAATACCAGTCGAATATATTACATTTACTTACGTGCTAATACCCTTGAGAAAAGTATGAATTCTCTTCTTCTCCCCCCAGCTATGGGTAAATAGCAGAACAGACCGGGTTCAACAGCCTTGGATGGCAACTGGTCTACCGCAGAAAGAAATGGCAACCTACTGCAGGAAAAGAATCTGCCTTGTGAATGATGTATCGTTCGATATATGATCGCCTAAACGTGTATCAAGTATGGCACATAGTTGACTGATTGTTTTCAGCTCCAGAAATATTTTGACAATGACGTTATTTTAGAATCAGTTATACTCATTTTCTGTTGGTTGATTTCTTTCCGAGTTTTTTTAAAATATGATCCTCCTTTTTCTCAGCAAATAAATCAATTATCCCTTTTTTGTGCCGATGTTTGCGAAAGTGAATTCCTTTTCTGAAAAGCAATCTTTTTTTCATCACATCTTCTATCACTGTTATATTTTTTATTTTTTTAATTTTCTCATCCACTGTGACATTGTAACCAGTAAAGCAAGTACTGTCCATTGGTCACCTTTTATTATCGTTTCGTATACAATGACTTTGCTTTGACATCATAATTGTATTCTAACCAATCCATCCGTTTATGAAATGAGTGAAACACAATCAATTGGACGTAGGCAGTTGCATTTTGTATCTATTGGTAAGCTGCCGCCATCATTTTCGTCGAATTAAGATACTGACGACATCAAGGAAATTATTTGTTTGTTGTTTTTGAGGAGATATTGTCAAAAGAAAGCTATAACAAAAAATTGACAAACAAAATTACAATTATAAGCATTTATTGATATATTGTTACCTGAATTTGTAAAAAATAATGATGCGGCTTCGATGCAGTGTTTCCGATATCCACTCAGAGCTACACAAGAGAGAAAGAAGAGTGGCAAGTCAGAAAATCAAGGACACTGAATATATACAAATAATCAACATTATCTTTAAGACTCTGACGTTCTTGATGGCGAGAGTTTCACAGAAACCCAAAATGAAATCGAAGTCCGGATTAAAGAACCATGTCTACAGTTTTTTGTGTTATTTCTTCCAGGCTTTAATCATATGTAACTCTCTTCGTATCATATCTACCCTTTCGGTAATCCCGATCGAAAATATAGGTATGTTACTTATCACGTGTTTTTACTCTTTTATACTAAGTTATAAAATACTCCATATCATCTATTTCTTTTTCAACGATAAGTGGATTGTGGAATGGAGAAACGCTATATACGAATACGAAACTGTGAAGCAAACGAAAGATGACTTCCGCCACCTGAACAAATTCGGCAAAGGGCTTTTCATTTCCTTCAGTATACACCAATTCTGCGTGTCTCTCATTCTACTGGCTATCTTACCACTTTTGTATCCCGAACATGGTCAACTGTTCTATGCATTTGTTTTCCCAGTGACTCTTGATAGCGTTTGGTATCACACCGTTCTGATTTTGAATTTCATTTTCTTTTCATTGAGTGAAATATGGAACACTGGGGCTGTGTTGATATATGCTATACATACAAAGTTTCTTATAAACGAATTCAATGAATTGGCACGGGAATTTTGTGACATTTTCGAAGGAACATCGCAAAAAATGGACCGTTTCACAATGAACGCGAGAAGTGAACGTTTGGTTGAGCTATATGGAATCTACGATAAAATCTGTGTTCAACTTAAATTAACCAATCGCGTGGTTAGCATTACGGTTGCATTTTCTTTTGCGGTGTGTCTGATGCTGATCTGTTTCGTCGTCTACGAACTGATTGAAAACCGAATGAAAATCTATGATCACTACACGTTGATCATAGTGGCGTTTTTACAACTTTTGGAAACTTTCACTTTGCTTTACAATGGAATCAGATTAAACACAAGCGTAAGTACATAATATCATTACGATTTTTTAGATTTCTTCTTAAAATTATGGCACGATATTATAACATAGCTTCTTATGAAAATTAAGGCTCGGAAAATAATTATAAGATTTGATTTTGATTTGATTAGTTGGTTCAACAGCACATCAACTCCTTTAAGGGCCATTTAATATCTAAATTTAATTTTCTTACGAGCTTTGAAGTAATAAAAATATGTTATTCTGCTTTCACAGTTAAATACATGGTAGATGATACTCTGTTTTTGTGCTTATACAGTGTGCAATGGGTAAATAGTCGCCATTTTATATTTTTCATTTCGCGCATGCGCGTTGTTTGTTTTTGATTTTTCCGAATTTGTCTTTGAGATTAGACATCTTTGATTAAAATTTTACCTTCACCTCAATACTTAGCTGCTTTAATTTTGCTATTTTCTGTATATTACTTCAAGATTTTAAAAAAAGCAACTAAAAGCTAAAAAAATAAGATACGATCATAATGGTACAAACTTTTTCCTTCAAACAAATACAGCTACATATATTTTGTTTACAGCATTAGTCAGTGCTGAATTAGCATTTAACTTAGATGTAAATGTTGGTAATCTCAAAAAGTCTACGGAGGAGGTAATGGTTAAAACAAAATATAATCTTTCAAAATATACTCTGGGCAGACGAATCCTATTTATAAACATTTTGGTATTAAGATGAGCCCGGAAAAAGATTTCAAAATAAAAGCAAATACACTTTACATCCTTAAATTTTATCTTTCACTTTAAAAAGGTACAAAAATATCTCATTTTAAGGTGTTTTTTAAAGAAATATTTGTATATGTGGATATATGATTTAATTGTGTGTATATGTGTATTATATTGAAAATTTATATTAAATGTGTATAAATTGTATTTAATTTGTATTTATGGGATATATTGGAAGTGTATATATATATATATATATATATATATATATATATATATATATATATTGTCACCATTTCATATTCTAATTTCGTGCATGCGCGTTGTTTGTTTTTGATTTTGTCGACTGCTCAGCACAATAGGGTCAGTTGGGCCGGGTTTAAGAGACATAACAAAATGATAAATTTATTAAGAGCTACAAAGAACAGGAAATTTTGGAAATTGTGATCATGATTGCCCTGAAGGGATACGGCACATAGAAGAAAATTATAGCAGGTTAATTCCTGGTATTATTTTTCTATCCATATAAGGGGAATCAACTGCAATATACCAACGATACACTGACTACAAATATTTATTTTCTTCTCTTGATTTCTGCGCAAAAAAATATTTTCTATGGATTAATTCTTTCCAGTGCAAGCATAAACAAATCTATATTAAAAAATGTCATTCGAACTGTTATAATACAGAACATCAGTGATACAAGAAGCATGTTTCAGTATTTTTAATTTAGATAAATCCAATATGTGAATGGACGGCAACAAGACCAGAGGCAAAAACCTGAATGAGGAGGATAAATGTACACGAGGAATAGAAAGAAAGAAAGAAAGAAAGAAAGAAAGAAAGAAAGAAAGAGAGGAAAAGAAAAATGGAAAAGAAAAAAGAATGATAGAAGAGAAAGCAAAAGAAAGAAAGAAAGGAAGGAAAATAAATAAAGAAATAAATAAAGAAAGAAAGAAAGAAAAGAAAGAAAGAGAGGAAAAGAAAAATGGAAAAGAAAAAAGAATGATAGAAGAGAAAGGAAAAGAAAGAAAAAAGGGAAAAATAAAGGAAAATAAAAATCATGATAAGAGAAAGGAAAAGAAAAAAGAAGCAGAAAGAAAGAAAGGAAAAGAAAAAAAAAGAAAAATGAATGATAGAAGAGAAAGCGAAAGAAAGAAAGAAAGAAAGAAAGAAAGAAAGGAAAAGAAAGAAAGAAAGAAAGAAAGGAAAAGAAAGGGAAAATAAAGGAAAATAAAAATCATGATAAGAGAAAGGAAAAGAAAAAAGAAGCAGAAAGAAGAAAGAAAGAAAGAAAGAAAGAAAGAAAGAAAGAAAGAAAGAAAGGGAAAAATAAAGGAAAATAAAAATCATGATAAGAGAAAGAGAAAGGAAAAGAAAAAGAAACAGAAAGAAAAAAGGAAAAAAGGAAAAGAAGAAAAAGAAAAAAGAATGAGAGAAGAGTAAGAAAAAGAAAAAAGAAGAAAGAAAAGGAAAGAAAGAAAATAGGAGAAAAGAAAGAAAGGGAACGAAGTAAAGGAAAATAAAAATAAACATGATAGAAGAGAAAGGAAAGGAAAAAAGAAAGAAAGAAAAAAAAAGAATAAAGAAGATAAGAAATCAAATAAATGGTAGAAGAGAAAGACAAAGAAAGAAGGAAAGAAAGAAAAAGAAAGGAAAAGAAAGAAAATAAAAAAGAAAGAAAAAGAAAGAGATAGGAAAAAGAAAAAGAAAGAAAGAAGAAAGAAAAGAAATAATGCAGTTAACTAATCATGAATTAAATTTAAATAACTGTTTGACGAAATTTTTTCTTTAATCATTTCACCCTAAGCAAGGCGGGTGTGCCACTAGTATGCAGGGAGTCATGGGGAGAGGAAGTGAAAGAGAATACTGAGAATAGTGAAGATTGAAGAAAGGGAAAAAGATGAATGGGGTTCAAGAAGACAGAAGATAGCAATTGATGTTACATGAAAGTTTTTAAAAAATGTAGTTATAAGGGAAGCAAGAAAACGGAAGGGAGCTCCTCAGGTGGGAAGCGTGAAATAAAAAAAAACTGTTGGAATAGAAATAGCAGATGCATTTATTTATTTCGACAGTAAAAGTGTGGGACGAAGATGCCAATCAAGTAAAACGCTTAGTCGGGGCACCAGCAAAAAAATAGCTCTCCAGAGTAATTCCCATGAAAATATTTGTAGAAAAGACAGAGGGAAGCCACGACACGTCGGTGAGTGACTGACTGAAGTCGAAATACCATCATTTCTTTGGATTCTGTCAAGAGACTTGAGATGTACAAAAGATCACCTGACCAAATATAACAAGAGTATTAAACGCATGATCGAATGTTAAATTTGTAAATAAGCAAGATGTATTCTGAAAAAAAATCTTCTGGTATGACAGGGTGACCAAACATTCCTTGCAGTAGATGCAGCTATTGATTCGATACAGCCCTTCCACTTCATATCACTGAAATAGGCCAAGAAGGCGTAGCGTGTTGCTCTCCAGGAGTTCAGCATTACCCATGCTGATGGCAGGCAGAAAAAGTGGTCTGTGTTCGTTAAATGAAAGCAGTTTTGTTTTGGAGGCTTTACAGTTTACAAGCCATTTCTTGCCCCAGAAGTAAATGTTAGTGTCATCGGCATAAATAAGCTGTTAAGAACTGCTGACATCGGGGAATCATTGATGAAAATAACAAACAGGGTAGGACTCAGGATAGAGCCTTGGGGGACACCTGCGTTCGCATGAAAGGATCTGGAAGCGACCTCGTTTAACACGTCTTTCATTTCACGATTTGATAGGAACGATATTCCTCCCGTGACACCGTATCCCCGGAGCTTGCGTAGCATGCCAAACACTGTCGAACATCATCGAGATATCGAGAGCCACAGCTCAAGCTTTTCTGTTATCTAGAGCTTAATATACACATTTAATGATGGCCGTTAACACATCGGCGGTAGACTTCGTGAAACGGGCTAGCCATATTGCTTGTTGGAAAGGCGGTCGGGAGAAGTATGATGCATAACCATTTCAGAATACCGCAGGGAAAGTTGGTTCTCTGCATCGCGCCAGGAGTTTTTTCTCTCGCCTGAATCCATCCTTCAAATCTACAAATCAGCCAATCGTCCTTGCATGGAATACTGCTGCCATATATGGTCTGGTGCTCCCGCTGTTCATCTCGAGGTCCTCGACAAAATCCAGAGTCGGATATGCAACATGTTTGTTTCTTATTTGGCATCCCGTCTGCATTCGTTATCTTACAGTCGTGCTGTGGTTTCCTTCTGTCTTTTCTACAAGTACTTTCATGGGAACTACTCTGTCGATCTACTTTCACGGGTTCCTAAACTGTATGAATTTAAGCGTGCTACTAGGTTGGCATCCTGGTCTCACACTTTCACTGTCGAAACGGCTAAATGTAGCCTTCTTCTACTTCTACAGCTTCTTATCTCGCGTCTCCTGTCAGTGGAAGTCCTTTCCTATCACTTTCTTCCCTGATAGCTATAATCTTCAAATATTCAAATGTAATGTCAATCGACATCATCTGATGCCTTGACTGTGATCCCTGCCCTTCTCTTTATACTTTTCCCAAACACTTCTCTTTACTCTTGCTCACACTCTATGTAACCTCTTGCGTGCTAGTGGCACTTCCGCCTGGCTTGAGGTGATTTGATTAAAAAAAAAAATCTTAGAACTTCGAATAATTTGCAGAAAAGCGGTAAGAGACTAATAGGGTGATAATTTAAGGGGTCTCCAGACGGTTCTCCAGATTTCTTAAAAACAGGAACTACAAAATACTTCCATTTTTAGGACGACGGCAGAGATCCCGTCACATCCTTTGCCTTTGTCTATTTTGGAAATGATGTCTGAAACTAGTGACGGGTTTATGCGCATATCATTCAGTAGGACCTCCGTTCTAGTGGGGGAATCAGGTAGGGTTACTCCAGATGAGTCGAGAGTGCAGCTGGGAGAAAACTTCCAAGCTAAGCGCTCTATCTTATCTGCAGTAGATGTCAGAACTTCAGATTGATTGAATAGAGGTGGGACTGGGGTTTTTTTCTGTTGTTCAGCACACCCTTGCAGAGCCACCAGTAATCTCTAGGACCAAACTTGTGAGAGATTATACGTTATTTCATTCTGTCAGTAAACACTAACTTCGCTTCTTTGAGGACAGTCTTGCACACATTTCAAGCAGTGACGTCTGTTGCAATCAGACTTGTCGCTCTGGTACATCCGGAAGAAGTGATTCGTGGGCTATATTGGATGAACATGCAGGTGACAATCAAGGAGATGATCCTGGTTTCACTTGGTATTCCCGTGCTGAAATGAAAGCATCGGTGTCAGCTTACACCCAGGAGGACACCTCAGTGGCATTTTTTTTTTAACAGGATGGTTAAAAACTTAATTCCAAGGGACATCGCAGAGGAATCCACGGAAGGAATTCCAGTCAGTGTGTTGATAACAGAAAGATATCCTGATGGTAGGTGGTTGGTGACTGACAGGAACGCGGAAAGGGATATATAATGACAGCAGTGCACGATCGGAGTTGCCAAGAAGGCAGAGCTGCAGAGTACGACATGAGTCAGGTGTAGCGGTAAAGAACACAAGCGTGTCCGTCAAGGTTACTGGGGAACCCATGGGGAAGTCTCCCACATGCGTGAGAGATAGAGCGATAGTGAAGTTCAGCGTTTGAATGCCAGCAAGGTCAATGACAGAATGATGCAAGGAATGGACCTGAGGTAAAATCATTTTTGCCTCTGTAATGAACTTATGTGCACAGAGACAATTGGCTATAATGGATGTATACAGAACATTAGTAGCTGCAAGGCACCTTGAAATTCTATGTTTTCTAAAAGAAAACCTCTTCTCTTTTCCATTGTCTTCGCGTATGATAACAGACCATAATAGGGAAGCCTCTCTCTTCAGCCGTCCACGTAAACTTTGCATTGATCTAAGGCAGACATTTATACCCGGATTATGTTTTATTTTTAAAAACTGTGCATTTTCCATAACAAGGCTTTTATTTCTTATTTTTAAATTATCGAATAAATAAAATTATTATTACGTTTTTTTTTATAATGGTGTTAAGCCAGCACAAAGCCCGAGGGCTAGATGGGGTAGAGGGTTACAGAGTAAGAGGCACAGATTATGCAGATATATGTGAAAGTTAAAGGTTAACCAGTTAAGATTATAGTGATCAGGAAAGAATCCTCTTATTGATTCCACAAGGCAGCGGCCCGTGGAAAGAAGTTGTTCGAGTCTAACTTACATCTCACCAAGGGAATACGAAAGTAACAAAGGTGGTTCGTTATATTGTACGTGACATAGCGGGTCTTAGGCGTGAATGTTGGGACGGCTAAAATTAAGGGGTGTATTTCATGTAAACACTTTCCATGGAAATAGTTATAGAGCAGCAAGAGTCTTGCAATGTCTCGTCTCTGAGAAAGAGATTTTAGGGTGTAAAATTACCGTATTTTCCGGCTTACAAGACGCTGCGGCTTGGAAGACGCACTCTAATATTGGAAAGACATTTCTAAGAAAAAAGTCATTCTTATACAAGAACACATTCATCATGCGTCCCTCACATACTGGCGCAACTTATTGCTTACATTAATCACTCGTCCGATTTTGTTTGTATAGCAATGACATACTAGTCAAGAGCAGAAAGGCTCCAGCCGCTGTGGCTCGGCTCCAGGAAGGTTTATAGTCTTGGACATACTTTAACAGCTAAGTAATAAGGTTATACCATATCAAAGGATGAATTAGACAAATAACTAACATTATAGTGTAATGACTCCACAAACAAATTCACACATCTCTCAGACCAATTAAGGTGACCGTCCAAGCCTTACATTCGTCTTGGAAGACGCACACGTATTTTTCAGGATATTTTTTTAGGAAAAAAAGTGCGTCTTGTAAGACGGAAAATACGGTAATCATCAACCACAACGACGTGGAGACGCTTTTAGAGTCAGTTGTGAGTGTAAAGTGAAGACTGGGCAGTTCCTGGTTATATATGATATCAGTACTCCATTTTCGATCTGATCTGGCTCTTGCACAGGTGGAGAATAGCAATAGGAGTTAGACATCTCGGCGTGCCGTACAGGTAACCTACCACGCATATATATATATGTTGCGTATATTTTGTCAGTATGTTTTCATTAAGACAGGTCTCACTAATTAATTTAGACAAGTTTTATCTACTTATTTTCAGTAAGATCATCTCATATTAACGGAAGAGCTTCTTAGTATCCTTATTAAAGAAAGAAAGTTATCATATTGATGCACAATCATTTATTTATTCCGAGTATTTTCGACATTATCAAAATGTCATCTTCAGGGTCTCGTTTTATCAGGGTCTTTTTTTTTTTTATCTAAGACAAATCTGTTGTGTTTATCTGAATTTTTTTTATCTGAGAAGTTAAAAACGCTAAGCTTATGTACTGTACGATATTTAAATTTTATGATGTAAGAATATATTTTTATATACCAAGAACAGTATTGGGAAAATTATATTATAGCGCTCCATGACGTCCACGACCCTGCGCTAATGACAACGTCCTCGG